CTGTAGACTCCCAGGAATCATAGAACCTAACAATATTGGGATGCTGAAGCCCTTTCAGCATCCCAGCTTCCTCTTTAAATCTTTGACGCTCTGATTTGGACAGCTTCCGATCCTAATGAAAAAGAAAAGGTGTATCAGAAAGCTTTGCTTTATTTCTTACTCAGAGAAGCAGCAACTTGAACAACAGTTGGGTACAGTCAATGAACAAGTAAGAACTGGCAATCTTAAATACGATTTGGTTTGCAACTGCCCTGAAATACACTCATTTAGAAGACATTCTTTTATAGTCTTTGTCATATTTTTCCTTACAATCTTGAGTGCTCTCAGAGGTAAGAATTGCAAGTCTGAGGATTATCCCCTTTTCCCGTTTCCTCTTCCCCTACTCTAATAAATCTAGTCATTGCCTGAGTTGATGTGGAAGGAGGACATAATGTCTTCAAATATTCAAGTGATCCACAATAGACAAAACTGGACTATTTAAAGCATCTCTCTCATGTTGTACATAATAATGTTTGGTCATTCCTATGTGTATAATATCCAGACCACTGGTAACAGATGGGATTAACCTTCCATATAGGGGGTAGAGCATAAAACCTCTCTAACACATACTATGAACTTATAACTGCAGAAGAACAAGCGATTAAGTTGGATTTTCTCTGATTAAAAGCACAACCTCATGATTGAACAAGTTTCCTGTAATCTAGCATCAAGGAAAACATAACCATAACTCACACTAGAGACAGAAAGCAATCTTTTGGCCAGAGACAGACCATGAAAAAGCATTCCTAGACAATATTGTTTTATTATCTCCCAACAAGTAGCTACCACATAGCATCAGGACTCTGAGCAGCTATTACCAGACTAAGCTGCACATCTCAAGAAAAAACAGTCTCCTCATGCCATTCACTTTTCTCAGCTTGCCAATGCACTGGCCACACCAGTCAGATTGACAGACTGACATAAATTGGATCTATATGCAGTTTGTTTTAAAAACTAAAACAAAAACACCCAAACACGCAACATTTCAGGATATAATTAAAGCCCACAATTTTAGATTCATTGCTCCTAACAGTTATTTAGGAATAACCAGTGACCTCTTTGTCAAATCTGAATAATATTCCTAAGTCACTTGATTTCATATTTCCTTTTCACTTAAAGGAGGTAGTAAAACCATGCAGGGTTTACTTATACTGCTCACAACCTCCTACTGTCCTCCAGGCAGTAATTTCTCTTCCTTAGTTTGCCGGTAATGTGTTTTCCCTATACCAGTCAGCCAATACCTAAACCATCCTATACTCACTTAGATCATTAACTTTTTCTCAGAGGTTCACAGAGTATCTTTCCATATGGACAAACTTCATTTCCAGATGAAGCTCCAATTTTCAAGTGTAAAAGCCTTCCATGTGAAAGTTTGAGAACAGAGTTGAAACAATCTCAGGAATCACTACCTTATCAGTGCCTATGAACGTCAGCCACACACACACTTTCACAGTTCTTAGGAAGATGCTAAATTCTTCAGTCTCGCAAATTTAGTCTCTAGACATCAAAAGCACTCAATCCTGCAACTGTTTCACTCTGCAGAAATTAGCACTCTTCTCACTCCTTCATAAACATACTCGCACAAACAAATTTTGAGATAACATGTTTGCAGAAACACTATACAAACATTTGAGTATCATGTCTGCCTAGCTGCTGGTTTGAGTTTTTTCAATACAGAAATAATGCTTCCATTTGCACTAATAGCTTTCCTTTCATTACAATAAATAGGGCAGCACAACTTCTGTTCAAAACCAGCTCATCTTGACTCCTACAAGCAGCTGTGATACAGAAAAGCAGTGAGCTGCAACAGGCACATCAGTCAACAGAGCATACACACGTGCTTCTTAGAAGCACTCCATGCTTCAAGCAATACAAAAATCACAGTAATGTAACTATTCTTACAGTAAAATAAAGCAGTCTTCTCAGCCTCTGCACCTGATCCACATAATCCACATATTAAAATTAGTTACATATGGTTATTATAAAAACATGGCTGCAGCAATTACTTTTATATCACCTTTAAATTTAGCCATGTAATACGAACAGCTGCACTCATTTTTGTCCAAAACCTACATTTTAGATACACATTTGGATTAAATTTCCTTTATTTCATGCATTTTAATAAGTTATCTACCACAAACACTACTAACCTGTTTTGGACTATACCTGACATTAAATTATCATCCTAATCTATGCAAACTTAATCTCTCTTAAGGGTCTTACATCATTTTCCCTACCACTGTACTACTAACCCCAAATAGAATCTAACAAGTGCTAATCACTCTTATCAATGAGCAGACTCTTAACAGGCAAGCATATTTTGACTCATTTCCCTTTCTGGCCACATCCTGTTCCTGCACACATATCAGTGAGGTTTAAAACAGACACTCAACACTTCAGCACTGGCATTAGAGAAAACAAAAACAAAACACTAAGACAGTGACAACACACTGAGTAATTCAACACTTCTTTGAAAGTCACAGTGCCCTAATGATCTGGGACAAGCTTGGACACAAACATGGGCTAACAAATTTCACCTATGGAAGACAGCTACATTTTTGCAAGTAAGGAAACATCACACCCTTCAGTGGCATACTGCAGCAGCAAACTGTAGCGGGAAAAGTTAAACAGAACTGTAAGGAAAAGGCAGAGAGGCCACTTGTTTCATAAGACTAGCAACACATACTACCTTTAACTACCCTCATTTCCTTGGATACACAACCCATACACTCATCTGTAAGAGGGTGGGGTTTTTTTATATTCTTTCCCTAAAGGAGCACAATGCTAGGTAACAGAAAAGGATGAACATGCTTTAAAAACACATAACCCTAGCGTTCAGGAAAATATCAGATCTCACATACCGTTATACCAACAAAATTATCTGTACACACAATGACTGGTTATACTCATACAAACTACCCTGTAATGCAACCTGTTAGGCTAACATGCCATTTAAAAACTACAAGTACACTTTCAAAACCTGAATATTCTGTGCACTAGAACCTTAAAACATACCAGACAGTAAGATCTGCCAGACTGCATAGAGATGGACTACATCAAAGCCCATCCCAAGTACTACATTTTGGCACCTTCTGAGTTTTAGCATGGGCAAAATGTGACAGCTTTATGCTCTTTCTTGCACAAAGGTGCAATCTAAGCAAGTACTGAGATAAGCAAGGAAATAAAGCACTATATGTAATTTGGGAGTCTGAGAAATGGTGCTACCAGCCACATGAGGTATGAATACTTGAGGAAAGGCAGAGGACTGAAAACATCTTGGAATCACATGAAATTGCTGTATCACAGAGCTGTGGCAGACAGAGAACAGCCATCACACTTAATGAGAACTTAGAAGAGCATTTTCCAAGAATTTGGGAAGGGAACAGGTTTCACAATCTTCAGTTTCAAGTGTGTACTCCAAGAGAATCAAAAGCCCAGCTGTGTCCTCCCAACAAGGCAGCTACCTGGGGCAATACTCAGATTCCAGTGGGGCCTTCAAGCAGGAGCCTGCAGGAAGGCAAGACCCTCAACTCTATTTCCACCTCTAAAGAGGTAGCAAAAAGTTTATGACATCATTCCAAATAATTCTCCATTTGATTATCTCAAGAATTAATCAAACAGATCTATCCCCTGCAGCCTTCTTCCTGTAACTCACAGTCTAAATAGGTATGCAGATGGTTCATTTCAGCATGTTATTTGTTGGTTTCATCTGGAAGCAAAAATGGAAATTTCACAACTTAACATTCCTGTATCACAAAGTACAAGACTGGTTAAATAAATTTAATGTTTCCTTTTATTTTTATTTTAAAAATTAAACAACAAACTGAACAAAATAGAAAGACATCTAAGATGCTTTTCCATAAGCCTGGCAAACTTGAACAATTTTATAAAGAAACCACCACTTTAAGAACAGTTAATAATATATGGCTTGATATCCTGTCCTTCAAAGATCAATTTGTCTTGGAACTCCTACTAATAAAATCAGAAAATGGACACCCTCTCTCCTCCCCCAGGCTTTATTTTACCATAGTGAAGCAACTTTAGGCAGACAAGATGAAGTCCTAATTCTGGAAGTTACCAAATCACATTCTTGCACCTCAGTTACCACAAGCTGAGCAGATATAGCCCAAATATTTAAAAATATACAAAGCTGTCAAACTGTAGGAGAGCTTGCTTCCTAAAATGGATTTAACTATCCTATAAAATGGCCAGCATTGGTGTTCCTGAACTGAGAGTTTCCCTGGAGGACTCAAGTGTCACATCCTAATCACTGGGCTGCCCTTCGAACAAACCGAAACAGATGCATCAAGCCCACTCCGTTCATTTCATTCATTCCTTTCCACCTACATTAAATTGTTTTGACAAGCCAGGACAAACAGCAAGGCTTCCCAGCACGTGATTCGCTGTTCTGCAGTGCCAGGGGTCTGAATGGAGACAGGCAGCAAGTGAAGCAATTGTTCAGCTCAGAACAATTCAATAAGCTTTTCTTGGCTGTTTCAATTTATCCCTGCATTTCCCCTCCGATTTTTTTTTTTGGTCAGGAAAGAGCTATCAAAGGTGTTTACATTACACAAAGTAAAACAGGGATCTTGGTCATTCATGACCACAGTCATTACTTTTTCACTACTAAACTTACACACAGAACTATTATTATTCTCTTTCTATCCCTCTACATAGGTGCCTTGCATAAATGCAAGAAGAATCCCGACTCAAAACCACTCCTCGCCCCTAAGATTAGTTATTGTATCAAGCCACAAAAAAACAAAGCTCATCAGCAAAAAATGCCTATATTCCTTTGGCAAGTTTTTTCAGCCAAGGCTTAATGTCTATTCAGCGCCCTTAATGAGGAAAGAAAATACATTTCTGGCACCTAAATTAATCTTAAATTTCAGCTTGGTTACTCACATAGCTGTTAAGTCTATCAAGTAATGTCTCATTTGTTTTCCTTTAACTTTCTATAGTGCTTCAGAGTCCTGTCCTATTAACATTGGGACAAGAAATCCTGCATCTGCAAAGCACATCACAATACCACAAGTGGTTGCAGAGCCTAACTCAGACACCAGAAACAGCAGGAGAGCCATGTTAGCAAGGCATCAGACTCTGCTCTAGCCACTCAAGTCTGCTCTTCATTCAGACCAAGCTCAGCCAAGTCTCTTACCTCTGCTATCCATTTTTACTGACACCAAGTGGTCTGAGCTAAATTCTAGGACAATTCAACAGGCATTAAATGGACAGAGTTACACAGAAAAGACACACTGCATTTCATTCTCAAATACGTGCTACAGGATGCCAAGCAAGTGGGTAACAAAAGAAACACTCTACATGGAAGGAACTAGATCTGCTAACTGCTATATATCCTCAAAGGTTATTTTCTGTTTCCTGATATCAAGCACAATTAACATAGACAAAGTGGCAGAGAACCCTTATGCACAACATAACAAACCTGACTCAAATCTGCCTATAGTCTCCAACTTCTACAAATAGGCAGACTCACAGGTGATAGAGGTCAACTTTAAACTGGATATTTAAAGAAAAAAAAAGGCATGAGCTGCTATTCAACTTAGCTGTTTCCTCTTCCACACTATTAGGAAGATAATAAAGTGGAAACTAAGAAAGACTGGACACTTTACATACTACAGACAGGTTTTACCAGCTTTCTGCATATCCTACAGCTAGATTCAGAAATTCTACATAGCTAATGTTACAGGGACAGTTAGTTAGCAGGTTGTTGGTTTGATTTTTTTAAAGTACAGTAGAGCAACACTATGTAGCTTTTATCCAAAGAGATGCACTAGAAATCACAATAGAAAAATTAGTACCAATGAACTGTCTTCAGGCGATGTGATCAGAAAGCATACAGCCACGAGACTTCAAAGTGCTGTTGAATTATAAACAGTCTGAATCACAACCATGGTAAATTATCTGTGCTGAGGTTACAGTAAGCAGCATTTCATCAAGCTTTTCAAATGTCTGAAAATTTGAGAGGAAGACACTGCTGCTCCCAGCCTATTATTCAGAGGAAGAAGTAGTATACAGAACAGACAAATGTTCTTCTGTGTGCATTTCTGCAGCATATGAGAAAGGCTTCTTTGCAAGCCTTTTAGGCAAGGTTAATGAGGGGTCATCAGAGGAGAAGCTAGCAAGACTGCACTCTGATATTCAGCACTGTTAATGGAACTGAGGCTTTGTGGGCTGCAGTGTTCTCATCCTGAAAAAATTTAGCAGTTTAGAGGAAAAAAAGAGCACAGTGACCATTGAGCTACATTAACAAAATACCAACAAAGAATTCCCAGAGCTTAAAAATCATCCAACGTTACATAGTTAGTACCTAGAAATGGAAGACTCAGTGAGTAAGACCCACATCTACTTCTGCATCAACACAAACCTCTTCAGACTTTCCAGTGTCAGTGTTAAAGACTAGCAGAGAGAAAAAAGGAGGTGAAGGGGAAGTGACTGTTCAAAACACATCCCTGTACAGCCACAGAAATTGAAACTGATCAAGGATCTACACAGACACCTCCGCCAGCATACCTTTCTACATGGCACTGAATGCAAAAAAAAATGATTAAATGGAGCTGAACAGCTGTTGTTCCAGAAGTAAGCATGTAGGCTACACAACCCCACTTTTCCCAGCCACTCCTTGTAAGAGTTGAGCTATAGACCCTTCACCAGCTTCGTTGCTCTTCTTTGGACATGCTCCAGCAATTCAATGTCTTCCATGCAGTGAGGGGCCCAAAACTTTTCAGCCCCTTTTCTCCTCATAGATTAAAGATGGAAGACAATGTTCCTGAGGATGGCTAGTGGAATAAAGTGCAATGCCAAGTTAACACTTACTTACTGAAAGTAAAATTTTACACTGCTGCTTGGCAAGTCTCCACAAGAAGAATCAATTTTATATAAGCTACAAACAGCCTTTGTGGAGTATGAAAACAACCTTAAGAACGAGAACACTCAAGTATAATATACACATCTAACACAATAGAAAAGATTAGGCTTAAAACAGTAGTGTATTACACTTTTTAAAGTTCCTAATTCAGGGGGAAGATTCTTTTGTAGGCTTCCTCTTACACAAGCTATTAAAAATGCTTTAATTTTCAGTAAAGTACACAAGTACTCAACCTAAATGAAAGGCTGAAGGATTATTCACATTAGTTATACTGTTTCATGGTGTACATCCTCTATTTTAATTTCTGGCATTTCAATACACAACAACAGTAGCACTGCACAAAATTTATCAGAAGATGCAGTTAGTTCACTAAAAACACATCAAAAATTTAAATTGTTTCTTGTCCTTTCTCTTACCATAGATACAGGGTAAGCGATACAGTGAACCATAAATCATAGCACGGCTTGGGCTGGAAGGCACCTTGAAGATCATCTAGTCCCAACCCCCCTGCCAAGGGCAGGGACACCTTCCACTAGACCAGGTTGCTCAAAGCCTTGTCCAACCTTGATGGCAGCACCTCACATGATCAAATGCATGCAAGTTTATTGCTGCTGCCCAAAGATTAGAATTAAGGAAACAAATTACATCTTGCAGAGATGATACTTGGGTAAACTGATGGCAGGAAGAAGAGGAACAAAGAAATGAAACTCTTAATGATTAGACAGAAGCCTTCATCAGTCAGGGTTTAGTCTGGAGAAGTCAATTACATATATCCTGAAAGAATCAATACTTGAGTAAACTTCAGAAAATAAGAAATACAAGTTTGTGTTAACACTGAAGAGGGAGTATCTGCAACTAAAGCCTATGCATGTGACAGAGATACCAGCACCACTCCCCATTTTATCCTGCCACTGTTTGTCAGTTTGGATGAAGCTATGATTCATCACCACAGGAGAAGGGGGAGAACACCACCAGTAATTACACCTCTCTAATATGGTTGCTTCAGACTTTCACATAAGCAGCAGCACCTCTGCCAGCAATAGTAGTAGCAGCATCTAAGACACCTGGTGGCAGCAATGTTATAGACTTAACCTATGCTTGAAGACGCACCCTCAGCAAGTCTCCTGATAACAGAAAGGTCATCAGAACTGAAGTCTGTGCTTGCTTGCACCAAGTTCTAGCGTCATTAAACACTACTGACCTGTAACTAGTCACAATCACATGGTCCTCCTAGGTCTTCAGCTAGAGAAAAAGTTGGCCAAATCCTCAAGTTTCCAGGATCCCATAATTCACAAGAACATTCAGTAGTAGACACAGCTAATACTGTTATTGCAGTAGGAAGCAGGCAGCAAGGAATAACTACAACATGCAAAACCAAACATGCTTTAAAAAAAAAAAAACAACACGGGGGGGGGGGGGGGGGGGGAGGTTAGGAACACTGTTAAACTCACTGACTTGGTGAGATACAAAGTCATTCTGCCTCACTTCCTCACATGGAACAAATGGCAGAAGCGGGATCAGAAGTGTAAGAAGCTCGCAAATAGAATGTGCAACACAAACACAGCAGCAGAAAACCATTCCTGCTTCTCTGCAGGACAACAGTAGATCAGTACACTTGCTCTTTACATAAGGAACAAGACATTTTAAAGTAGGATGCCCAGTAACAAAGTTGATTTTTTGTTACAGGAGCAGTGTGGGAATTTTTTACATTCAGCAATGACAAAAAATTTGTACTTTGGTGTAGCACTGCTACACCAGTGGGCTTCAAAACCATGTGCAATTCTAGATGGAAGGCACATGCTCCATGCTCACCAGAGACAGACAGATGCAAACATGTTGCTTAGAGACTGGGCAGTCAGCTGTACCTCAAGTTCCTCCTAAGGAGATAATGACAGAAAAGAGAAACTATACAAGTCCAAAAGGGCTATGCCAGCCAGAAGCCTGGCTGGCAGGCTTCTGAAGAATTCAGTCAGTGAAGATTACCATTAAAGCTGTGAGCAGCATGAATATGATGTACCTGGCAGTAAAACACCTCACTTTCCTGAGGAAAATTAAACATAAGTCAAATTGTACCACCTATAAATCTCTACCAGATTACCAGCTTGTTTTCCAGAGCTGTGTTGTGTGTGAACATACGCACTGATACAAGTCTATATTACTCTCCCCACTGTCTCACAGCAGCACAAACATTCGTCCACAAAGTTGGCCAAACTGCAGAAATAAACCAAATTCATCTGCTTCTGCAGAAAACAATGACCAAGACTAATCAGTACACTGCCTAATCTTACAATTTCCTTTGAGAAACTTGCATTCATCAGAATACTGCCATGAAAACTTCATAGCAGCTTCAGAGTAAATTAAGAACTACACACATACTTTATCAAATCAGTTATAGATTTTCCTTTGCTTTCCACACAACCAATAAGAGAAAAATTTTAAACAGTAGATATGAAATCTATAGTTTAGACATGACCTCTTCTGGAATCTCTCAGGTCCTCAGGAATCTGAACTAAGAATGGCAAGCAACTGTTTAGGCTTCAGTCATTTCTATTCTAGGGTTGCTCTAGGCAGCATCTGTGTTTCCTTACGCAGTCTGGAAAAGAAGATGGCTAAAAGTTTTATTCAATTTATTTATTCTGAGAGGTTGAACGTAAGGGACAGTAATCAAACTGGTGGGCTATACAAAAATAATCAGCATTAGAACAGAGAGCTCATCTACTTATTTTCACTTTAAAATTGCTATTTGATCCATGGAAGATAAATGGATATGTTTGCTATCTGATACCAGTTCACAAAAAGGCTTATGCTTATTACATACAGCTTATTAAAGAATTGAAGTGTTAGCTGAACTGAATTCATGATGAGCTATTAACCAGTTGGACCATGTTGTCACTTGGCTCAGATGCCTCATTAAAAGTTTTGAAGCTCATGTCAACTCTCATTTTGCACTGAATTGATTGCTTTGTCATTGAGAGCAAAGGTACATCCAATCATCTCAGTTTAATTTTACTATGAAAATCCAATTCTCTGTTCAGCAGATGACAGTATTGCAGGAAAAAGCCTCCTCCATGATCTATTCTGGTTACCTTACAGATTTATTGACTCATTGCATCAAAAGACCAACTGCGGCTCTTTTTATTTCGCATACTTCTGCATGACTGTAAGAGTCCTTTTATGAAAAGCTACATGTCCAGAACAGGGTGAACCCTTAACAGACTGATAAAGGCGTATCAGTTTAGAGAATCAAAACCATGCTACAATACTTCATCCTATATACGTCACAAAGCTATTAGCAAAGGGTAAGAATTAACCCTTTGATGGGAAGTTGCACTGATGTGCTGGCTGGAAATCCATGCAGAAGTGTC